ACAGATATCGCTCTTAAACAGAGATATAAACCAAGATTTTGTTTTATTTCTGTATTTAAATGATGGTAATGAGTATAAAAGTTAGTTTAATATAAGATTATTATTCTGATTCTCGGAAGTGTTCATTTTTTATGACCTAAATGTTTTCAGATCTTCATAGTAAATTTTTAATGCAACGAGTATGCTACACGATGGCACAATGTTGTTGTCATCACTGATGACTAGCTTCGCTTTCAACTTGAGTTTTTTTTATTTGCAAGGTATTTCACACAAACAACATTTAACCCGCGTGTAATTTCCAAAAAAAAATTAGCATTACACTAAATACAATTGTTATGGGCTTTATCAACTTATTTAGGTGTGCGCAGTTCATTCAAAACCATAAGCTTATCACTTTGTGAACACGCTTTCAGACGCTTCTGCGTATTAAGCTAAGTTTGCCTTCATTGCAATTTGGTATTTATTTTACTTTACAATAATTTTGTTATAAGCTTCTTTTAGCCACTTTTTTCGTTACTACGGCGGGTTTTATTTTTGGTTTTTGTAAGTTTCTTTGTTTCAACTCGTAAAACTGTGTCATACACTGAACGCTTAATACTATTTCATACTCCTACATTATTATACATACCATTACTTCATTGTTTACTTTACATGTAATTTTATTAAATAAAGTTGCATCTACGCGAGTTTGTTTGTCTTACCGAGTAAAGTATTTTCAAGAAGACCATGATTTATCGATCGAATACACGATGCCTGCAAGAAAGCGTACCTTAAATGGCGTGCGTGAAAATGATAGAATAAGGAAAATTCAAACGAAGGGCTTGAAAACTATCGCAAATGTTTTGCGTGTCGCGGCTAGTGCTTATGATTTTTCGTCTTTAAGTTTGCTGGGCCTAAAAATTCATTGCTACGTCTGAAAGATTTTCACTATACTAGAGCAGAGGACGTTGCGTTGCTATAACAAAATTTACCTTTTAATATTATTTTTATTTGTACATAAAACTTGCTAATAAACATGTAGTAGATGTATAATGTGTGCTCGTTACGTACGTACAGCTTCTCCAAGTTGGAAAGCAAGGCACGTATGTTGGTCTAAGTAACACCGTTGAAAAACTGCTCTTTATCAATCACACGGAATGCGAATGTCGACCCATCGATAATCAGCCACGTGCACCAGAGGACCTGAAACAACTTCCGGATTTGGATAAGATGAAAGCAATAAGTTCTGGCACAGAATGGGATTCTGAACTTGACAATCCTTTACGACGTCCACCTACTCAGAAGGAATCAAAGTAAGCAATCGAAAATTAAGTTGTTTATTATTATTATTATTTTCTGTCGAAGAATGATTCACTTTTGAGCTAAAACTACGTGTTGTATCCTCAGAATCTTGTATAATTCAAAGATCCATTACATGTTCATCATTCTGAATATGGATGGGTGGCTACCCTTGCATTGTTGATGATTTTTCAGTGAACTTTGCTCAAAATCTCCCGTATATCTTAGATAGGTGAATATATGGATTAAAAGGTTTGGGTTGCTACCAAATGTATAATACGCCATGCATGACAATTGGCTGAGAGGGAACTTACAGGAATACACTGTCGTATCAACATTTCTGAGACGTTCCTACAAAATTCAAGTCATTGGTTTCTTGCTTTTCCAACTTTTAGTTTGTTAACATAAATTAACTGGAACAGAATCTTTGTTACTTGATTACGTTTACATGTGTTTATAATAAGGGTAATAAAGCGGTATTTACATGTGTTTATAATAGGGGTAATAAAGCGGTATTGTAAGAAAATTTTTCTTACCAATAATATATATATATATATATATAGACACACGCACACACAGTTTAAATGTGGGTCTTTTTAGATGTGCTTAGTGCAGTTAAAAAAAAAAAAGTCGAATGGATTATTAATTTGTATATAATTCAAACACACCATGCAAAAATTCCAGTCATACCCTCAGATGCTCTACTTGATAAACTGATCTTGAGACTTGCGTAAATCACGTTTCAGTGTGCTTTCTCGATATTACCACCCGCTGACGCATGTCGAGCATTCAGCTTATTTTATGCGACTAACATTTTTGTTCGCGATAAATGTAGTTTCGTATGTAACATGATGACCTTTTTTTATCTGTTTTTATTTCCACTACTTCTGTTTTTATGGTGTTGTAAAATGTTTCAAGTTTCCTCGTCACAAAAAATATAATTATGATATGTACATATGTATATCTCTGTCATGAGCAGCATGGCTATAATGTATCCCAGCCTTCATCAGATCTGCTGAAACAGATTATGTACTTCTAATGTAAAATGCCTTAGTAACAGAAGCTGCTTTGATGCCATAAAGAAATGTTGTGTTATTAAACTTTGGAATGTTGTAAAACACAGAAGACTGACTCAAATAAAAAATGTCGTTAGAATAAATGAATGAAGCACTAGCTTGAAATTTAGGTTCAATTTCTAGGTTTGACGCCGAAGACCAAGGGCGAAACGCTCTGGATTGAAATATAGGATGTTAGGCAAGTAGTGAGTTTTAAGTTTAGTTTCAGACACAAGGTCACTCTTTTTTCAACTTTAGGTTTAAGGGTCATTCTAGATGGGTTACATCCTTAAATAAAGTAAACACTCCATTAAAAATTTAAAAAAGTGGTTACAATTGTCCAATTCTAACAGTCAAATCTTACTTTGGAAATGTTTCTCTTTATATTCTCGTGTGGCCAAAGAAGAAATATAAAATTCAACGAGAAGTGGTAATTTAATCAGTTTGAAGTTTTAAACTGTTTTGATCCTTTTAATCAGTGATTCTCGAGTCTTTATTCTTTATAGAGAGTCGTATCCAAAGAAGTAAAAGGTTGGAATATTGATTCTGAAAGTTTTCCAACATAGCATCTAATTTGTCTTTTTAACGTTCTACATTGATATCAATGATAAGTTTAGTTGTTTACGTAAGACTTTAATTCCAAAAGAGGTCTTAAAAATTGTATAGTCCAACAACTTATAGCAATTTAGTCCCCCTTCCCGCATTAAAAATCAGGTTTTGATACCCGTGGTGGATACAGCATAAATAGCTCATTGTGCAGCTTTCGACTTAAAAATAAAGAAAGAAACGAAACGATCTAGCAGTATGTTTGAAATACATGCTTAGTTTTTTCACCACTAGGTGTCGAGAATGCCCTTTGCCATTTTATAGAAGAGAATATCCGGATGGAAGGTGCAGCTGTGACTGTTTTGACCGCCATAAACCGTGTCTTAGGATAAAAAGAGGTCGTCGCCCATTGTCAGACATTGAAATCAGGTAATTATATTTAGGTTTTTAATACAAATGTCTTCTATGGTCAGCTGAAACCTCTTTTAGATATGTGAGTAATAAAGCAAAAATATTTTGAACAACCATATTTTATAAAACGAGGATAGTTGGAACTGGATATAACGATGGTTAACATCTTTCGTAGAGTTTTCTGGTGTTTACTGTGTTAGATGTGTAAGCTTTAGAGAGCCATTCTCACTTAAAAAGGCATAGTGTTAGGGATAGTTTAACGAATTTTAGCAAAGAAAATGTAATTTTAACATATTGAATATTTCACAGCGGCGCTTATTTCGTCATTACCACATCAAAAATAATCTATGAATGAAATGAATTTTGTACCTAGAAATTCTGACGTCTTTATCTCGTGCACCTTGTGGATATCATTTTACTTGTCTAAATTTATTTTATTTTTTATCAGCAGAAGGACAAAACCAAAAAACAGATAGGTTGTCGTAATAAAAGGAAACTTTAGACCCCCCTACTTTTTTCATATTTTATTTGTTCTTTTTACTGTGTTATAGGTGTGTTCGAGCCCGCAAGTGCCATATCCCCGAGTGTAGGTTTGGCCAATACAACTTTTTAACGGGAAAATGCCCTAAGCGACCCCAGAACCATAAAAAACAGAAAACCCGCAAAGAAAACAACAAAAACCAACACCATTATCACAGATGGGCTTTCTACGAACGTGATTAATAAAGAAAAGTTCAAAGTCCTCGGAAATAAAACTGTTCTATGAACTAGTCTGTATAGTGTTCAAGATGCAAGACTTTTAGTTCACGTTAAAAGTGAAAAATGTTACAAGGTCTAACCTTGCGACAGTTTTACTCACTCTTTTACCCAGAGAGGGCACTTTCAGTTCATTAACAAGTCTATTAATCGGAAAAAAAAGAGTGCCAACAACAACAACAAAAACTTTTGTTTATTTTTCTAAAAAGTGTTTCTCTTGCTAGAGAAAAAATATTTGCAAAACTATTAAGAGAAATGGCGTCATTTTTAAAACTATGTTTCTATGTGTTCACGCGTGATTTATAATTTTATGTTGAATTAGTCCGGTTGCAAGAACGAACCTTTATAAATGATTGAACGGTTAAATTTTACATACGTGTATTTGTAAGCTGTGCACGTACAAAAGTTATAGGTGCCGTATTAAGTGTTTTGGCTTTGCTGGTGTTTTAATTATTATGACAAAGTGTTTGTGCTGCATCGTTTATTTGTAAATTAAACGTTGTTCTGTTCACGAATGTGTTTGTTTCTAGTGACTCGAACGCTTAGTTGCCAGTTGTTGAAGTCTATATTAATTAACTTATCAAAGAACGTGAATTATGTGTCGTAGTATGTACTGTAAGCGTTAGCATGAACCATATTATGTGCTGTAAAAGTATCGTATCATTAATTGTAGACAGAAACACCATGGTGTCGAACCGTGACAATCGTAATTCTTGAATATACAAATGAAGTAATTCTTTAAAGAAATATAGAGGATTTTTGTTTTGAAAACTTGCATACATGCATTTCTGTTTACATCGAAGTTCTTTTGAATTTTTGTACAAAGCTACTCAAAGAGCTATCTCTAATTTTGAACTCGTAGACTAAAGGGAAGGCAGTTAGTCAACAGCCCCGACACTCATCTCTTGCGCCGATCTTATTTGACCGAATAATGGAATTTAACTAACATTATTTTAACGCACCTTCGACCCAAAAGTGCGGAGCGAGTTTTATTGGCATCAGGCCGCGAACCATAAACCCTCAAACTCGCAGTCCGAGCACGCTAACCATTAGTGATGTATTATAAGCACAAGGACATGAGAAGAAAAACAAAAAACACGCAGCATAAAGCACTAAACAAAACAAATAATACCAAGTTACAGGTTAGAACATCTGAATTATAAAGTGCATCTTAACTATCTACTACATTTAACCTTTATTCGTGAACCCTACAGATAGTTTGAGTATCCACATTTGCTGAATACGTGGGCCTAACTTCTGCAAATACAGATGTAAAATAAAATCAAGATACGCTTTATAATACCACATGCTGTAACATAAATTTTGATGTTATTTGTTTTATACATGTTCCCGCGTTTTTTCTTCTTTATTTGCATGGTTTTCTGTCTATACCTTTTAATGAACGTAGGTTTAAGAGTGCAGTTTGTAACGATTTATTTCTTAGTGGTGAAATATTTACTGTAAAATCATATCTGCAGAAAATATGGGGTGATGTATGTGGGTGTAGATATGTATATGTAGGTGGGGGTTAAGTGTGAGAGTGGTAGATGCATTGGTTGGTTGTTGTTAAGCGCAAGGGTTATCTGTGCTGTGCCAACCACAGGTATCGAAACACGATTTTTAGCGTTGTAAGGTTACTGACTCATCATTGAGGCACGGGGGGGGGGGGGTGGTGAAAGGGGCGGGTCCAGTGGTTTAAGTGTTTGAAAGCAGTGTAGTTTTAAATTGTGATACTTGTCACAAGTATCACTCACATATACTATGGATTTTCCACACTTAGCCATACGTCTGTGGAATACTGTTCCTTTATTTGGATTTTAATCTATATACAATCACAGGTGTAGAGAAGCTTCTCGAAATAAATAAGGCATTTAAGTGGTTTGTTTGTGCGTAAATCATAGATAAAAGAGCAAAGGCTGATACTTCCCCTTTCAAATCGTGGTTGAAAGTATTGTGCATATCCACCAGGAGCTCCAACTTGCACATCCATCAAGAGCTCCAGCTTGCACATCCATCAAATTATTTTTGCATTATTTTTTAGACTTGTGTAGAGTTTGCTGTAGTTTTTGTTAGTTTAAGAAACAGAAGGAAAGTCTTTCTAAAATGCAGCTTTGTTTTCATAAAAAATATTGTAATTTAAGAACTTCAGTGATAGAATTACGAGAAAGTCACTGCCCTTCATCGAGCATGATACTTTCTTAATAAACAACAACATTATTTGAAGGCAGTGCTGACTCTCCTTAAGCTGATAGAGAAAAAGTAGTTCTAGAAGATAATTTAGTGATGTAATCCGTGTAATGCCTCAAAGAATGGAGTCGATTCACGAAATTACGTAGGTGAGATACCTGCGGCATTGGGAAGCGGAATACTTTGAGTCTAAATGTCTAAAGCTCGCATCACAAGTGAGTGTGCTCAGTATTAGAGATAAAATGTTGTAGGATCACATAATCAACTACTCAACTTACCCGTCACACAGCCTAAAAAAAGTCTATTTCTGTGGCAAAAGTCACTTGTTTATATCAGTTACACGTGAACATGTCGAATTTTACTTGTTTCCAAAGATCTTTTAACAGATTAAATGAAGCAACAAAAAAGTCAAGTTTTGTGGCACAAGTCACTTGGTTATTTATGTTACACGTGAACATGTCGAGTGTTACTTGTTTCCAAAGATCTTTTAACACATTAAATGAAGCTAAAAACAATAGTTATTAGTAGTCACACATTTTCCCACTCATTTAAATTATCTTTAGTTTGAAGCATATTATAGAGATTTCCAGTTTGTCGGTTCTAAACTTTGAGATATTAAGCTTGATTGATAACCCTATTGTGAAATTACAATTATTCAAACGTATGTATTTCTTAATCGTTGTAATAAATTTAAGGAGGTTTATCCCATTGCTAACGGCCCATATTTCTTAATAAATTACGTCACATTGTTGACTCCACTGCTGTAGCTTTATAATACGTACGGCATATATAAATACACACATACATCTTTCCAACTTCCTACTACGCGCTTTCTAATTAACTTCTCTACAATAAAATGATGTATACAACGGATAAAGTGGCTAAAACAGGTTCTATGGGTCACTTTTTTGTTTTGTTTGAATTACGAGTTTCCTTCACCACGCTTTAGTTGTTAACATTTGCAAGAAGTTAATTTAAACAACAAAGGCTAACTATTCGTTTTTTAAGGCCATAAAACAGCTGAAAGTAGCTTTCTCTCCTTAATGGGCTCTTGAGAACAGGAAGATGATAAGGTCAAAACAAGAACGTGGAGGTCGCGATACGTTTCATTTTTGTGACATGGTTCGCCTTTTGACCGTTTCATATCTTTATGACATTTATATGCGCAGTCCATCTGAATGTTTTTTGTGTTTCCATATTTAATTAAATACCATGTATTCCTATTACATGTCTAAATCATTATTTGAAAAAAGTATTTGTGTTTATGTCTTTACTAATAACTAGCGAACCGTTTGACTGATTGTCACCAAACTTGGCAGGGACTCTTCAGGATCCCAGGAGACTAACGTAGGAGAGGTTGACGTTCGGATCTGTCACCCCCCCCCCTCCTCTCGCCTATGTCTTTCCCGTGCGTTGGACGGGTACGTCAGCTAGTTTAGTTATATTACTAATGAAAGCTACCAAACAAGTACCTAAAGTGCTGCTATGTTAATCTAGTAATTTCCTATCGATAATGGTGTATCATAATTTATAGGGCATTAAAATAACTCTTAGAAACTGTGCATGCGATAGCAAATCATTAAAAAGATTAGATCTTCGTAAACTAAGCACCATTTTCACATTATAAGCAAAGTCAACGGTGAAGAATTTCCCAGGTGTAGTATTATATTTGTACTCAAAAAAAAAATCTGGGTTACAATTTTGTTGTAAAGAAAGCTCAGATTTCAAAAAAAAAAAAGGTTAAAGAGTGAAATGCATTGACACAGCCGGGTTCTCGATGTTGGCAGATTGAGTCGAACTGAGTAACTGATCTGTTGTGCTGGATGATCACAACCGGATATTTAGCGCAAAAGAAAGTTGTTGGGTTGTGCTGGATGACTTTAACCGAATACAGTCAACGTCTAACATTGTTTGTTTATGTTGTTTAATTTCGTGCAAAGCTATTCGAGGGCTATTCTGTCCCTAATTTTGAAGTGATAGGCTAGTGGGCTATGTTGTTGTTTGTATTAAGCACAAAGGGCTATCTGTACTCTGCCCACCACGGGTATCGAAACCCGGTTTCTAGCCTTATAATTCCGCAGACACACCGCTGTGCTAGAGGGAAGGCAGCTAAACGACACCATCCTGTCAGACCGAATATTGGGTTTAGACCGTCACTCTTATAACGCACCTCAGGTCTACAGTCCATCACGCTAACAAACTACTGAGCATAGTCTGGCAGTTCATTTGGCATACAATTGTAATAAGTGATACAAAGGATCTTGATCATAAACAGACACGTAGGAACTCTTTTTAACATTGTATTCTGCAGCATGTTGGATGTAACTGAATATAACGATCTGTATCTTTTTGTTTCTAAATTCTTACTTTATGTCTAGAGGGAAAGACAGCCCATCTCAACTCTTTGTGAATTTTAACCCCTGTTCGAAATGTGGAGTTTCAACAACACTCGTATAGCGCATCATGATCCCAAAGTGAGGAGCGTGTTTTTGTAATAACGAGATGGGAATCGTGTACCTTGAGGTTTGTAGTCCGGCCACGCTAACCACTAGCCACAAATGGCTCTAATAGAAGCAAAGGTGCATTATATAGTTTTCTTAAACGTAAATATTAGGCCTATTAACTGGTTTACAATGTTTCGCTAGCTTTCGGCGTTCAAAATGTAACTTAAAAGTGAAAGTTAGCTGAAAATGCAAATTGTACAGTATAAAATATGATTACGCAACCAAAATGAAATAAAACATCGTATGTTCACTTTGCGTAATACTCAAGACTAACCTGTCATCACAGTATTTTTAATATTGGTAGTTGATAAGTATAATGTGGGTTATATTATTAGAAGCTATATAAGTGGACTCGCTACCGTGATAAAACGTTCATTTATTGAAAGCTTATGGCTTGTATAGTGGAGTCTCAGACGAACGCTGTGTACTACAATAATAATTATTTGTTGTTACATGAAATAATTAAATGTTACTACCCTTCAATATTACTTCATATAGTAACCTACTAGCATTGTTTAGGATACAGTTAGCCGGTAAAGGGAACGAAGGCTTTCAATTAAAAACACCACCACCACCACCATGAATAAATAAATAAAATAGACCTTTCTGAAAAAGAATTCAAAACACTGGTGCTAAAAATATATATATTAACCACTTCCCGTTGATTTTACATTATGATGCATTATTTTCACGTATCATCAACGCTATTTATAAATTGTGAATGATACTTTGTTATCAAAACATTTTAATTCTATTGATCTTAGAATATCATATACTATTTGAAACCGTTAAGAATGTCACATCTTTCAATGACTAAATCTGTAACCTGAACGAAATCTTATTCGACCCATAAGCTAAGCGACCCTGTCGGAAAACCCAAGTTTATGCACAACCGTCCTTAATTTAGAATGCTGACCAGACGAAGAACAACAAGCCAAAAACCTCGTCGCCTACACGGTTACTCATCAACCAAGAGTCGGATTCTATCTTCCACATTTTGACCATGCCCTCAGCTAAAAATGCAGTACGTGTTCAGAAGCATATCGGAAGCGCTAATCTTGGCCCTTTGGCATGCTAACCAATACGTTATGCCGGGTATGCGGTATTATTTGGTCCATATTTTGTACAATTTCAGATTACAAATATTGATTAAGAGATGTTTTTTCTACTGATTTGATTCTCATTAGTACTGGATAAAATAAAATAAAAACAACTTGCACTGTATGCGAGGACTGTGCTGTCGTTATTTTTTTAAAAACAAAACATACAAACCACCTGGCTTTGTTTATACCCTCAAGATAACCCGGTCACCCCCATTCCTTCTATTTCACAAGCTGAGTTTGTTGTTGAGATTATCAAAGCTAGTGTGTTTTTTTTAAAGCTGTTGCCCAGTTTTTCTGTGTAACATCTCCAGCACTTGAGGAATTAAAATCAACAACCTTAGAAGAAACAAGTTTATTTCATCAACATAACCCAATATCTATATCGTAGTAATATGTCTAAAGGGACCAATGAAAGTAAAGCATTATTTGCTCTATAATATCAGATTCATGTTATTTTAAACCACGGTAAACTGGAGTTCGAGTAAGCATGTGTATTGTTGATTGGTGTAAAAAAACAATGGTGGTTTGAGAAAACGTTTTGACCACCGAAAACAGCAGTTTAAAACGTTTGTGAAGTGGTTATTGGCGGAAAACATAATTTGGTGAAAGCTTGTAAAGTACTAACTAGTAGAGAACAGAGGGAGTCTTAAAATTAATGACTGACAGAGAACGAAAGTCGAAAACGTTTTCTATATACCATCAAGATTCTTTTCCTTGTCTTTTGTTAGTTATTTTGCAAGAAGTTTTATTGATTACTCAAGGACCACCTGCACTTGCCGTCTCTAATTTTTTAATTGATAGAGGGAAGGCTGGTAGTCAACAGCACTCACCGCCAGCTCTCTGGCTACTCGTATTTAACTCATTAGTGTAGAGCGGGATTTTGTGTGTGTGTGTGTGTATGTGACGGAAACGGGAAGTAAATTGGACCCACAGACCACAGTCCGGCAACATAATTACTGGTTTAAACTTGGATGGCACAGGAAGTAAATAAACGTTGGATGTTTGAATACAATTAATGATGAAACACGTGCCATTAAAAATTAACAGAGACGTTTTCAAAATAAATTGTTTATTTTTCATTTATTTTGCTGTACACTCACATACCAGAAAAACACGTTTTTTACTGGCAGCGTTAGATATGGCTAGAATTTATCGAATGATTTAGTGTTAACTTGAGCCTACTAAATTAGGAGGGGCCATATCCTGGTTTGTACGCAAAGATTTATGCTGGAAAGATGATAGGTCTTTTATCATAAACTATTGTTATTAATCGACATATATCACTATAGACAAAAAATAAATTAATTAAAACTACATTAAAATTTTAAAACACTGCAACGTGCTAAGAATTTAAAGAACAAAGTTATGCTTACATAGAAGTTATATATATATAATACATAGCACAATGATACAAAGTGTGTCGAATTAAACTTCAAACACATTGGCTTTAAGTTTTTCCTTACAGATTTTAATGGAAAAATATCCGTAATTAAATTATATTCATTTTAAAGTTATTTCAGCGTGCCGCGCTGTGTATCGAAAAGTCTGATGCTCAAGTCGTTGGACACTCATTGCACTTTCACCCGGGTACTGGTCACTGATTGGCCTCACCCCGGCCAGCAGTTTTAAATTAAGGGTGGCCATTTCTAAACCTTCGGGTCTATAACCTGGTTACTTAGCCCATATAATGCTGTTCAGATTGAAAACAAAACAAATACTAAATAGTTATAAAGGAAAATAATAGAATACTAGATATGTGTAAGGTAATTATAAACGTGTATGCGATATTATAATAATAAATTTAACAAGGCTTAAGAACTTTAAAATACACTGTTTATAAGGTATGAAGATCGTACTTTTCTTTATTTGGAGTTTCTGGTTATACAAAATACATTAGTAACTTCTCTAATTTTTAAACATCTATGATCCAGTTTTGCGTCCTCTAAGTTACACGATCTTAGCTCCTTAACCGAAACTATACTGAGGGATCCAGTGAAATGTTTTTCTTCTTTCTTTGTTGTTAAACACAAAGCTACACAATGAACTATCTATGCTGTGCCTACAACGGGTATCGAAACATGGTTTTTAGCTTTGTAGTTTTCAGACTTCCCGCTGAGTCACTTGTGGTCAGCAGTGAAATAACGAACACGCAGACTACCTGTTAGTTTCCTGGTGAAAAACCGAAAACTTGCTGTTTAACAAAACTGTAGCATTCAAAAATTAGATAATTTAATGTTTTTAGCTCACAGTACAAATCATAACGATAATCACATGCTATGATTTTTTTTCTGCTTTGTAACACAGATTTATTTGCTTTATTACTTGTTTTATATCTATGGTTTTACAAACTTGATGCACGTCGTACTTCATCGCGTGATCTTTCCTGATATGAGCTCTTAAATGATTTATACATCAAGATTTTCTGGAAAATTTAGACAAAACTGTAGACAACTCTTGCAGCAACCTGTTACTGAAAAAAACGGAGACAACCACAAAATAAATTAGTGGGAGAAAGGGCATTAAATTGCGGCAAGTCCGTTGGTGTTACTACTGGTTCTTTTTTTCTTTGTTCTGTAAAACTTACCAGTTTCATTTAAAACCATGTAATTAAGTCTTGTGACGTGACGTCAAATAACATTTTGAATGTACTTTGAACGCTGAGTTACAGTTGAACACGTGTTATTGTGAGGTGCCTGGCATGACCGCCTAACTTTGTTGGAAAGAGGGAAGAAAAAAAGAACAACAAAAAAACAAAGTCAATCTAACACAGTTGTTAATAACAGTGTATGTACAATAACTGAAAAAGTGGGGGAGGCAGGTGCCCCTTCTGTCCTATATGTTAGACGCCTATGTACCCGATAAGAAATTTCTAGTTTATTATGTTCGAAATTCCGTTAGTTATCTGTATAAAAGAGTGTTGTTGTTTATTGATTTGGAAACGAATTCTCAGTGTTACATCAGTTTGACGGGATTCTGGGAATGACTTAAAATTCATCGAACAGATACAAAGACCTGCAGTTATAGAAACGCTAGTGTGAAATAACATGCGCATGATTAAAAATAAATATTCGAGAAAATTTGCCCATTTATCAACATCTGTAATCTGTATTTATGATTTATATGTTGCTCCGAATCTTACGTAATTCAATACTTTCCTTGTGACAGCTTCTCCTTTCCTTATGGCTTACTTTGATCTTTCATTTTACAACCCACTCTAATCATAACCCATAAGACATTTATATGAACTTTATCTCAAAAGACGAATCTGAAGGTCATCAAGTGCGGGAAACTTTTACAATATGTCTTACCATTCATAATCTGTTGAAAAGATTAATTATCCATGAAGTCTCTGCCTCAACTTTGTGGTGTATTATGTCATATAAGTAACGACCCTGGGACAATTAAGATTTGTCACTTCTTACTCGTATTTCAATCTAATTATAATCTAGTAATTCAGATTTAAACGAAAGCTTTGATACTTTTCCATAAGTTTTAAATCGTTATTAAGATTCGGAGTAACTGTTAATCGGGGCTTGCATAAATAGATAGACAAACTGATAGAAAGAATGATTAAGCATTAATGCTATCTCCATGTCAATATTTGTTCTTATAAAGATCAGAGTTCTAGTTCTACTATCAGCTGTGAGCCAATATGAAGAGTTTGAAACGTAGTTACGAATAAGTGAAGTGTCGGTTGCCTTCAACACTTTTGGTGCGTTACGCGCATGCCTGTAAGGTAACTGGACACCACCGGCATGATACTTGATGCTTTCTTTACACGCGACTCGCAAAACGGATGAAATCATGCACCTGGTATTTGAAATCTTACCATTTTGATAAAAGTAACAAAAGAAAGAGAAGTGAAAGGATGTGACAACATAACAACCTTGGCTACTTGTACTTCACTCATCCCACTGATGATTTAGAATGTCATGAGCCTTGACACATACACATCGATATTAGAATATCATCCAACTTAAGAAGACTGATTAAAAGCTTATCGTGAGCAACTTCTTGAATGCTTCTGTGAGTTCATCTGTATGCTGACAATAATTTGGCTATAGATTTATAGACGAGATAACTCTTGTGAATGTTACTTTAAATACTGTGTTAATCTTTTATCCGTGTTAGTCAATTTGTTGATATAAATATTATTGTTCTCTGAGGACTTAATTAAATTTCTAATTTACCGCCAAGCACACACGTAAATGTGATATATATATATGTTTATGATTTTGACCTTGACAATTAATCAATAAAAGTTGGCACATTTGATAAAACACTATACACACCTATACTTGAGCGTTAAAAGGAGTAGAAAGATTACTTAATCGAATATTGTGACGAAAGGCTGTCTGATATCGTTCTACAAACAACTTGTGCTTTATTATATATGTTTTCTTTTGTGTGAATACTTCTGTGTACATATAAAAAAATAAAAAAATTGTAGTCTTAAATTTCATGACGAGTAATGCTTAACCCACAATATTGCGGAAACGATACAGTAAAACTCCACGTATCCAACGAAGAGGACTTGTGTAATATTATCCAAAATGCACAAGTCCCCTTCACATGATTCTGATTTCTCAAGCATGGTATCTCGAACAAAACCAAACGCCTGCGGTGCCCTCACAGTGGAATGAGCAGAAATAATAATGATAGGATGGTAGAAGGTTTGCTAATACGAACCAAAAAATGTTACTTTCTTTTCAGGATAAACCAAATTAAGAGTTGTCCTAAAACCAAAATGTGTTTCTAAAGTTAGTTTTCACTTTTTTATTGTTTCAAGTGATAAAACATTTTGTCTCTACTTACCATGTGTTGTGAGGAACTCGGAAACCTAATGATTAATTATGTTTATTCTGGTTAGAAAGTAAACATTTATTTTGAAGTACACAATACAGATGTGTTATGAAAAAAGCATTTGCTCTTAACAAATACGTAAAGATTTTTACCACCGAGTTGGCAAGTCCCATCCAACTTAAAGATATGTTTAATTTCTTTTTTTTAATGAAATATTTGCACATATTTTCGCGTTTTTCGTCGCAAACATAACAGGTTTTCGCCTTTTTTGTCACGAAAATTAGTCGAACCTAGAAGAAGAGCTACATCCCGTGATTT